ACAGGGTTTCTCTGTGTAGCTTTGGAGCCTATCCTGGCACTCGCTCTGGAGACCAGCCTGGCCTCAAAATCACAGAGATCCGCCTGCCTCTGCCTGCCGAGTGCTGGGATTAAAGGTGTGCGCCACCAACGCCTGGCTTGTTTTGTTTTGCTTTTTTGGTTTTCACCCACATACATGTCACACACACACAATATTTAAAATACTTTTTTTAGTCTGAAAAAAGTCTGCATAATCTTTGGGTCTGGTTCATTTCTGTGTATAATTTTTTTATTTGCAACAATTTTTATAACAGTTTAAATAAATTTAAAAAGTCTATGAAACTATTTAATATGCAACTATCCTGCAACATTTACATATACATATTTTACAACATGGCAATAATTTTACATTAACCATTTCACTAATGAAATCACAAAGTGCCAAATTGATTTTGGCCACCTGAATCCTGTTAAGAGTCACAAGCAGGTTTCAGTCAAGATGCTTAAAACACAGACATCTAATTTACCTTTGAAACTCCTCCCCTCACAAAACACTCTATGTGGGCTATTCTGTTAACATTTTTTTTTTAATGTTAAATTTGCTTGACTTTATTTACAAATGCACTCTTCCCTCAATACATTCCATGTGGGCTATGCCTATTAACATTAGCCTCCAGTCTCCTGGTTTACAGCAGCTTTGTAAAGCGCAATGGTGTGGCTCAGGTGTTGGAAGTTGACTGTAAAAAACAAACCACAAGAAAGCAAGGTCCTAACAGACGATGATGCATACCAAATATAAGAAAACATCCTTACAAATCAAACTTCCTTCTAAGCACTCAGCTCTATAACCTCATCAGAGAAGGTCTTTTGGCAATGGATGGTGGTTAACAGAGAGACTCAGAAGTACTCAAAGCACAGCAAGTAAGTTACTGTGGCGTGTTCAGCCCTAAAAGGAACATCTAAGTAACCTCCCTTCCACCAAGGCTCAGGGACATCATGGAAGAAGGGGTGGGAAGACTGTAAGAGCCAGAGCTAGAACTGCTATGAAACAGTGTCTTCTAGACATGACAGGGCTATAATACCTGCACAAACTCCTCAAGCCACCTTACTTTTCATTGGGTTTTGAAGCTCACCTTTCAGGTTCCAAGACAGGAAGGGATTAGATTGACTGACACAAGGAGAGCACACACACACCCACACACACACACAGCCCTTTTTGGAGGAGGTATGAGTGGGTGAGGGTGGATACCATTCTATAAAAACAATTGCAAATCTTAAAATTCATCTTAAGTGTATGATAGTGTTAACCTTAGTCAACCTGACAGACTCTACCAGTGAGGAGCAACCACTGGGCATGGCTGTGGGCATTAAAGTGACTGTGTTTACTGAAGGGGGAAGATCTGCCCACTGTAGGTGGGACCATTCCCTGGTTAGGTTCCTAAAATGTAAAACTGGAAAATGTAAACTTCATTTTGGTTGGTTGGTAACAACTCCAGTAACTACAGTAATTTGATTTCTAGAAGTAAATTAACTTCTTGTAGAGATTATTGGCTATTCTGCCCTGCGGACCGCAGGAAAGACATTTCTTGATCACCTGGCATTCTTTCCCTCACTGCTCACCTTTCTCTAGTCAGAAGCTTTTCAACTCCCTGCCCCTTCCCCTCCCCACTTCTGCCTTCTAACTACCCATTGAGGAAGCTGATGGCTGTCTCTGATTCTTGCAGAGACCCCTCTGCAGGTTCTTCTCCCTGAATAAGCACAGGCTTCCACTGTCCTAAGTCTCATTCCCTGGCCTGTCTTTCCTTCTTGCTCACCTTCCACTTGGTGACCCTCACACAGATGATGTCTATGCAAGAGAACCTGAGAGGTGGAGTGGGGTAAGCAGGGAGCAGGGCAGAGGCCAGGAAGAATGTGGGTAACTTTGGACTATAATCCATCTAGTTAAGTCTCTTTGAATCTGGTAGTGCAATGTGTTGTCCTTTGTCCAAGAGCAACCACTGTTACAGGGCACAGCAGCCAGGCCATGTTGCAGAAAATTACAAGATATTTAGGCTTAATAGAAGTGTTTAGTCCCAGGGCAGACCCTTTTATTTTATGTTTATAAATGTTTTGCCCACATATCTGTCTGTGTGATATGTGGCTGATACCCACATAAGCCAGTAGAGGGTTCAGATCCCCTGGAAATAGAGTTGTAGTTAGTTGTTAGCCACCACATGGGTGCTGGGTATCTAACCTAGGTCCTCTGGAAGAGCAACTAGTACTCTCTGAGCCATCTTTCTAAACAAAAGGCAGACACGTTTTAGGAGACAGGAGACCCTCCAGGCCAGTGATTCTCACCCTGCCTAATGCTGCAACCCTTTCATATAGTCCCTCATGTTGTGGTGACCTCCTACCATAAAATTATTTTGTTGCTATTTGATAATTGTAATTTTGCTACTGTTATGAATCCTAATGTAACCATCTGGTATTTCCAATGGTCTTAGAAGACCTCTGTAAGAGGGAGGGGTCATTTTACCCCCAGGTTGAGAACCACTGCTCTAGGTGGTTTAGAAGAGTGTTGGCCCATAGTCATAAGGAGTGATGACACAAGAGATCTTCCCAAACAATAAGCAGGCTTTCAAAGGGAGGAGCACCCTTTCCTTGTGGAGTCTCACTTAACAGGAGCACCTTCAAGAGGACTGGGACAGCTCTTCAGATCCTCTGGAGATGAACCAACAGTATGATCTGAGGGGTCCATCTGGCTAAGGGTCAGATAGAAGGAATATCCAATGGGAAAAATCTAAAAAGCTCACCCAAGTCTGAGTCAGCCATTGGCCTATGAGAAGTCAGTGGATATAAACTGGTGAGTGGGAGACTATGGAACTAAAGGGTGATCATAACTCTCTCTCTGACTAGCATCTGTCAAGGGCCTTGTGGGTAGGAGGAGTCACAGTAGGAAAACAAATCTGGAAAGCTGGTTACTATAGTTTGGGGAAAATGCCATCACTTAACCAAAACAGAAACTTCTCAAACTGGTGTGACCATGACTACCAAGAGGCAGCATGTACGCATCCATCAATCTCTGTTTCCTGATTCTGGATGCCACGTGACCTTCAAGTTCCTGCCTGAAGTCTTCGCCATGGTGGGCTATCCACTTGAACTATGAAGCAGATAAGCCTTTTCTCTCTGAAGTGGCTTTTGTTGTTTGTTGTTTTATACAGCAGTACAAAATCAACTCTAAACATGCCAAACTGGCTTTTGATGTTTTTACTCATTTTACAAATGTTCATCGAAGGCAAATTTTTGCCAAGCACTGAAACAAGCTAAGCAAAAACACAGTCAACTTAGAGACTTGTAGAGGATACAACCAAGTAACAGAACCAATTTTCAAGGATGCTGGTACATTCAATACAGTAACAGCAATACACCCCAAGGCTGAATTCTATAAGCTGAGGCTGAGAACACAGTCATGCTGGACAGAAAAGGAATCTGGAAAAGGTTCCCAACTCACAGATGAGCTCAGTTGTGAAGGATAAACCAAATTTCCATAAGCCAAGGAAAGAAAGAACTTACATAGGGAGAAGGGAAGCTTCCAGAAGAAAAGTGGGCACACGGCAGCTATGCTATGTACAGCAAAAGGAGTAAGACACAGTCACAAAAACCATAGTGGGAGAACAAGACTGAGAGACAGCCAGGGGCCCAAATGCCCAGCCTTCTTGACAGAGGTAAGGAGCTGGCCTTTGAAGCTCAGAAAGGCACTCCAGCTGGAGGAAGCATCTGTCTTTTTATTCTAACTCTTCTGAGATTTTAAATCTGTAAGATGCAAACATAGTTCAGTGCACTGTGCATGCTGACCTCAGTCACAGCCGACTACAGAAATTTGCAAATACCAAACACAGGAAACTGACGATGGCACAGCACTACTAACCACTCTGTAGAGCCACCCTGGACTTCAGCTGTTGATAGTTATTTGTGTGTATATGAGGGGTGTACAGTTCTGCAAAGCTGAACCACAAGCACAGACACCCTCATCAACACAGTTAGGACACAACCACACCATCACTCCAAATGTCACATCCTCCCTCCAAACATAAAACCGGCAACAAAACACTCGCTTGCTATCTCATTTTTCTCACTGCATAAAGGTAAAATAAATAAAATTAGACCCCCAAGTAACCTATTAATATTTGGCTTTTTCCCCCTACACAGAAAAATGCATGAGATTCATCGAAGCTGGCCCACTTACATTATTGATAAACAGCATACCCACCCACCCCCCAGATGCTGTTAGTCCATCCTCTACCCACTGGAAGACTCCTTTGGGCTGGGGTCATAACTCAGTGGTGGAACACTTGCCTAACAAACGCAAGGGTCCTGAATTCAAAAACCAATACCATTAGGGAAAAAATAAAAAAGGATTCCTTTGGCTGGAATATGTACACTGGACCACTGAACAGAGACACTACTACTCAGGGGTACAGAAGAAGTTCAAATAAGGTCTGCCAATACCCTATACTAGGGATAACCATAACCTCATATCCCCTAGGGTTTCCATGACAACTTCTACTGCTGGTTAAGAATCAGGTAGTGCTCAAATCCCATAATACACTCCCACAACCCACAAGAATCATATGTCTCCAAACATCCATAATGCCAGGTTGAGACTGTA